CATTCACAGTATTCACCAAGAAAAATTACTTAGGAATTAACCAATAAAGTGAGAGGGGGGAAAAAAACTACAGTACTTTGAAAAAGATCAAAGAGGACATAAAAAAAGTTATTCTTTTCCTACAACCAGTATTGTCAAAATGGCCGTATTTCCATAACTTACATTCTCTTTGCTTCCTACTTTTTGACTAGGTTAGTTTAGGTGGATGGATTTGCAGAAACTCTTTGTTTATTAAAATATTAGGTGTTTGCCCATAGTATGTGCTGACATGTTTCTTCTTGGTGTGTCATCTTTTGAGTTTATAAGTTTGGTTATACAAAAGACTTTGTGTTTGAAATTTTTGCAGTATTTAGTTTATGCTTGCTCCACTTCAAAATAATAAAGCCAGGCCTACTTTCTTGTAATAGTGTTGTAGTAATATGGTTTCTTATCAACACCTAAATCTTTGATCCATATGGAATTTGTGTGTATGATAAATAGGATATAGGATTAAAGCTAAATCACCACATGGCTAGCCAGTTCCTTTAACATTATTACCATAGATACCATAGATGGTTACTCATATTTAAATATCCATATACCTGAGTCTGTTTCTAGACTCTCTCCTATTTACTGATCTATTTTTACAATAGTAACTATTTTATTGATTGAACCTTATGTGAATACATTTTAAAAATCAGGAAGACATCTTCTTTACTCTTTTAAAAAGCCCAAGTTTTACTTTTTTAAAAATGAATTTGAGTAATTTGATCAAGTTAAAAAAATCATTTTGTGATTTAAATATTGAATTTGTAGATTACATTAGGTAAAATTGATACCTTTATACCATTGAGTGCTTTTTTTTTTTTTGTCACTTGCTACATTTTAAAAATAGTTGTTTTAAATCCCCAGTACCAAGAAAAAACAAGTTGTTGGGTGGGGATTTAGCTTATTTGCCACCACCAGCTGCCTTGTAAGTGCAAGGTCCCGAGTTCGATCCCCAGTACCAAAAAACCAAACTAAAACAAAAAGTAGTAGTTGTTTTTTAAATTAGTGTCTCTTCCTGCTTAATGTCTATATATTTTGTGTATATTGTTGATATTATGATTAAGGTATTTTCTTCTATTTAGCTGGAATTTTTGATGGCTGTTTTTAAAAAATAAAAATATTGGAATAGTGCCAACTTTCTGAATCCTTTTTCACTGATTCCTTTGTGTTTTCCAGGCATATGAATATATATTTTTTGAAGTTATCATGTTTTTGTCTCCCTTTGACCAGTGTTAATACCATTTAATTCATTCTCTTCTTTAATTGCTCTGGTTGCCCTTTCAAAAAAAGTTAGACAGCAGCAGTATTAATTTATCCTCCTCATTTTCATTTATTTAAAAATGAGTAAGAAGGGCCAGGGATTTAGCTCAGCCGTTCAGTGGTCTGCCTTGCAAGTGCAAGGACCTGAGTTCAATCTCTGGTACCAAAAAAAAAAAAAATGAGTAAGAAGATTGATGTGTTTACTTCTTTAATTAGAAACAGTTGTTCTTTCTTTTTGCCAGCTTTTCTGTTTTGCTTTTTCCTCATTAACTTTGTAAAACAATTGACTGCTTTTAAAAAATTCATTCTTAGCAATGAAAGCATAAGACTTCAACTTTTTCTCTGAGAGGGCTTTACTCATATCTCATGGGTACATTTACATTAATTTATTACTCCATTTTAATTCTACAGTTTTGAAAAATTCATGTGGGAGAAAATTTTCAAATTTCTAATTTATTTATTAATGTCTTTATGTACTATTGCCAGGCTTGTATGACTATTACACTTAAAAATTTACTGGGAGTTTTGTGGCCTTATTATAGTCCTTTTGAAAATTAGTGTTGCACAGGTTATTTATACAGTAAGTGCACAGATAATCACAGTACACACACACACACACATACATACACATACAAGACTTATTACATTAATCAGAGCTTTTATATTGTGGCTTTTGAGGGATGAAACTTATTTATCAGTAGCTAAGAATAGTGATTTTACTTTCTCCTTGGTCCTCTTACCTCGCCTTTAATGTTGACATAAGTTAATGATCTGTGTGCTTTGGATATTGTGCAGTAGGTGGTCAGTTCTAGTTTTAACTTTGTTCATCTCTATACTTTTGAATCCCCCCTCCTTTTTGCCGCTCTTAATTTCAAAGAAGAGAATAAATTCTGCGGTTAGATCATTTGGAAGATATCACAGACAAAATAAGTGGGCCTGTATTTGAGTCTTGAAATATCTATGAGTAGAGACGCTGGGTTTTGCTGAGAAGGGAAGGAATACAAAAAGAAAAGAGTGGGATGGTGAGTGACATGACAGAAAGCCTGAAAAAATAGAAAGTACATGAGGGTTAAGGAAGTGGGACTAAATTTTGGAGACTCTGAAAAGCCAACAACTGTTTATAATGCAAGTGATCAGATATGTACACATTTACAAAGTAAGCCTGTAAGAGAGCTTGAGCATAGGGTTATCGTTGATGCTTGGGTATGTTGACCATGAACGTTCATATTCCCTTACTGTAAGATTTCAGAGTAGTGTATTACATTAAGATCTGATGTGCAAATGGGCTGTTTCCAAATTTTATCTATTACAAATTGTGCCACAATAAACATGGGTGTGCAGATATCACTGTGGCATGATTCTTTTAATTCTTTTGGAAAGATTTGCCTATCAGTTGGAGACTGGATAAAGAAAATGTGGTTTTTCTATAAAATGGAATACTGCTCAGCCATAAAGAATGAGAAATTAATCATTTATAGGAAAATGGATGCATATTGAGGATATACTCTTAAGTGAAATAAATAAGTCATACGTATAAATACCAAATAGTTTCTCTGGTGTGAAAAACTATAATAGTACATAAGATCCTAATGGTATAATTGACAATGAGAAATAGGAAGAAAAGGGCTAAAGGTGTAGGGGAAGTGGGAAGGGCAGGGAAAGGGAAATAAGGGAAAAGTAAAAAATATGAGAAAATGAAAAAATGGAAAAAAGTATTTGTTAATAGAGACAGGAGGAGGGGTGAAGGGAGGGCAGGGGTAAGGGGAAAAAATGAGAACCAAGACCTGTCATGTAAAGGTACAAAATACCAATGATGAATGTAACTGTACTGTATGCCTAAAATGTACCAATAAACTCAATGAGGAAAAAAGGTCTAATGTGCATTCTTTGTACTTTATTTTGCATTCGACATTCTAGCCAGGTGATTTTTGGAATGAAAATGGAGGTTGGTGACTTCTCAGATAGTTTGTTATGCTGTGAATCAGTCTAGAATTTCTTTGTCAGCCTTGTGCTTCCTTTTTCTGCCTTTTCCACTCCCTAAATTATAAGTTGCCTTGCAAACATTGAGTAGAGGAAACAGAAAATATGCCACACTTGGGTAGGTATCGTGTCTACAGGCCTGAACTGTTGACTTGTTCCTTGAGAAGTGTGTGGAATAGTGGCTCCCTGAGCTTTAGTGAAACAGTGAGTGCATTTGCCAGGGGTATATTTGTATGCACACCATGCACAGATGTGTGTAGAAGCATGGGGGCCAGGCCCTTGCAGGGTGAATTTGGAAAAGTTAGCTCTGCAGAAATGGCACTTTTGCTCCAAGAGGGAAGGTCAGAGACACGGAGTTTTTCCTTGGTTTTTGCATAACATTTTATGTTTATTTTTTCCCCCTTGTATTTCTAGGGGACTCCTTCTCACAGTTCCGGTTTGCAGAGGAGAAAGAATGGGATGGTGAAGCTTCGTGTCCCAAGCAGGTAAGACGAATTTCTCTTGAATGTGGATTGGCTCTTTTCAAGGCTGAACAAGTAGCACCTTCGTTATTGAGACAGAGTTCGCATGTGGAAAAAAATTGCATGTACAGCTTCTTCCCAGTCATCTAACTGCCCAGAAAAATTTCAGGGGACTAAAACAGGTGCAACGAGCATGAGGTCAGCCTTCTATCTGCCATCTGTGTGAATTACTCTTAGGTTGAGTTGTGAGGCAGAAAGTTTCAGAGTCATGATTTTGACAGTAGACTTTGCAACTTGGTCTTTAGTCAGTATGTGACAGTTCTCTTTAGAGCCAAAAATTAACCTTCTACACTGTTCCCCTTTTTCGTATAGTTTAACTAACTCAACTGTATCATAGGAGATTAAAGGTAGAAAATAGAAACAAATATTATAGAAGTCTTTCATTGAATCCATAAACCCCAAACACTTTATTTGCTGTGTGTGTTCATCCAGTAGTTTCTTCCCAACAGTGCTGATTTCTTCCCAAACAGGAATTCACAGCTTCTTTCCATATAAAAGATAATGGGTATCCCCCCTCCTTTAAAAATTCATGGAATTATTGGTACCCGAAATACAGTTTAGGATTCTGTACAGTTTAGTTGAAAGTAGACAAACTTTGAGTTTGCTGAGGAATACAGTGAGAGCCCAACAATTCACATTTCAGTTGCTTCTGGTCCATACTGGGTAGCAGAGACTATTTCAGATGTCTTCAGAGTTTCATATAGTTTTAGTTTCATCAACAAAACATGAAGCATTTGTTATTTATTAGATATTGTATTAGATGCAGCCTACCTGAGCCCAGTTACCGATCCAAATCAGATGCATATCAGATATTTACCCAATAAATAAAAAAGCAACATTAAGGGTTGTGACAGATGGATTAATGTAACACTATTAGAGACAGCTACTTTGGACTGGGAGTGATTAAGAACAGTACTATGGGGAAAAGATTAGAATGGGCCTGTGTGGAAGGGTATGATTCTGGTAGCTTCTTTCTACCTGAGAGCAAGAGGAGGCAGGGTAAACTAGATTACGTTCAGACTTAAGAGTATGGTCATTGTGTAGTATTCCCAGAGGAGAGAGTTTCAGGGGTAGTTAGTTCTAGGCCAGCTGGTACCAACAGTTTGATCTTCATTGTCTTCAGGGGTTTTTTAGCATGTGGGTAAGAACATAGTCCTTGGAAACATAAACCTGAGTGTGAATCCTAGTTCAGCAGTGTGGGCAAACTTTCTTTTTGTTTTTTCATATGTAAAGTACTGCTAATAATAAACTATAACTTGGAGTTGCAGTGAGGATTGAATTCGATAATTAGAACCTTTTAGTGCAGCTCCTGATAGATACAAAACACCAAAATGATTCTTCTTACTAGTATTATTTAAGAAGCTTTGAGAAATAAAAATTGAAAAAGAAAAAGAAGCTTTGTTAGAACATGGAGATGGTGAGATTTGAGGTTAGCAGTGTTGGGAAGAAAGAATGAACAGAAAACAGGCTGGAGGGGAGGTAAACCAGTCAGGAGCTGTTATGTCGAGCAAAGGGGTGAGGGTAGAAAAGTAGGTTATGGACAGATGGGACTTCAGCAGAGGATAAGTTAGGCCATAGTCACTGACCAGATGCGAGGCATGAGACAAAGATTTGCAATGGCACCAGTCTTTCTAGCCTGAGTAACCGAGCAGTGATGCCAGCAAAGAGTAGAAAAAGTTTGCTTTTGACCATTTTGAGTTGGAGATGTTGGCAGGATCCACCCAAAACTGAATTAATCATTTCTCCATCAAAGCTATTTGTAGTGTCACTAGTTCTTGTTGATGACTTGAGAGAGAAAAAGATGTGAATATTTATATTTTTTCAGTTTTTAATTTTGCAAGTTGATCATCATGCCTTCCCATACATGAGCCCAACGTGCCCATTGACATAAAGCAATAAGGAGGGGGCAGAACGTAGGTTTTGCCTTTGTAGTGAGAGACATTAGAAATTCTCACAGGGAATTTGCAAGGAGAAGGACACAGTATTTCAGCTTCAACTCATATTCATTTCTCCAGGGCTGATTTGTAGGGTGCAGGGGACAGAACCTGGCAGTCAGTGCTCTTCTTGAGCCATACCAGGCCCATCACCCAAGAGAGCTCCATTGCTTAGGTCCAGGAGTGGTCTGTTCACATTTTTGCTTGGCCAAGTATGGGGATCATGTAAGGAAGAATTGGGTGAGAAGAGAACTACTTCGGGTGAAAAAGTCATTTCATTATTTTTTTAATCACCTGAAGTTTTTTATTCCACCGTGAGTTTGTGTTGACCTACTGGCTTTCATGTTCAGTAGATGCCCTGTGCATAACTGCTGAGTGTCGAGTGATGTACAGTGGTTCCGACACCCAGTGTTTAAAGGCATGGACTTCCCTCAGAGTCTAGTTCTGTGAGTGGGGATGAGAATCTGTTATCTTTACAATTCCCAGTCTGGGTGCTTCCACCGTTCTGTGTACATGTGATCCCTGAGCCCCAAACGCATCTGGACAGTGAGTGTTGTCCACTTCTAATGGGGGTATCATAGTCGGAGGAAAGGGTGTTATTCCATCTTGCAAGTGAGGTTTACAGTAGCTCCTTTCTCCAAAGGGTGTGCTTTTACACAAGACAGACTCAGTCTTAGGGTCTTGACCAAAGAAGAGCCTTCAGGGTTACAGATTCCTACTACCTATACAGGGCTCCATGCACACCACTAGGATGGAGGGATGTTGTTCTCACAGCAGGGGCGCTCCATCTCTCAGCCTCAGGGTCACAGGCAAGAAGGCATTAGGGTGTCCCCTTCTTCTCTTTGCACCCTCCTTCACAGTATCCTCTGGGTGTATTGTCCTCTTATTAGTTGCTAGGCCACTGTTAGGGACCATCAGGGCTGACCAGGTGGATGTGGGGACTGGGCCCTTAGGCAGAAATAACTGTATAGATACATTTTTGTTGCTGTAACAAAATATTTGACACCTACAGTGTAAAAGAGAAGTTTATTTTGACTCATGGGGTAAGAGGTTTCAGTTCATGGTTCGGCTAGCTGCAAGGCAGAAGTAGCATGTAGATGAAAGCTTTTTAGCCAGTGGCAGCCAGGAAGCAAAGAAAGGAGAATAACATATCCTTCCAGATCATTCCTCCAACCACCCTCCTTTTTTACCAGCCATACCTCCTAACAGTACGTGCAGCTTAGGAACGTGCTGATGAATTAATCCACCGATGAGTCTCACATTGCCCCACAATTCAGTCACCCTTTAAAAGTTCTTAGAAAAAAGTTCTAAAAGTTTGGAACACATATGACTTTTGGGGGGGGCATTTTATGTCTAAACCATAACATTCCACTCCAGGACCTGTAAAGGCTCACGTTTATTTTACAGTGTAAAATGTATTTAATCCATCTCTAAAAGTGACCAAAGTTCTAATAGTTTTAGCATTGTTGAAAAGTCCAAAGTTTATTTTTGAGATTCAAGTAAACTCTTAGCTATGTGCCCCTGTAAAAAATTTTTAAAAAAGAAAGTTAAATGCTTTTAATATGTAATAGCACAAGGCAAAAACTTATTTTAAAAGGCAGAAATGGGGACATGGGAAAGAATTGGACCAAAGCAAGACTGAAATCCAGCAGGGCAAACATTAAATCCTATAGCTTTATGTCTAGTGCCCAGGGTAAGCTGTTGTGAGATTTATGCCCTTGGCCTTGTCAGTTGTAGCCCATGTGGCCTCTTTCTCAGGCTGGCTGTCTTCTGTCCAGAACTATTTTTAGCAGATGTTTTATATTTTTGGTGTTTCCAACTTTGTGGGGTTGGGGGTGGGTTGTCTACTGCAGTACCTTTAGCTTTATGTATTGCCCTTTTAGGGGCACATTGTCTGGCCTCCCAGACCTTTATATGAAATCTGGGTGAAAGCCTCCATGACCCCATTACTCTTGTGTATTGCATGGCACCAGACCTGGTACCACATGGGTCATGCAAGTGTCTGTCATCAGCTCAAGCAGTAGTCAGGCTCCTTTGGACTAAGTGTGCAGTGACTTCCAGTGCCTAGGTGGCTGAATTTGGGGAAACATTTTTCGAATGCCTTTGAGTAAGCAAGGTGCCCTGAGGCTGTTTTTCTTTTTTTAAAGCAGTCTTTTAATGGAGTTTTATAACCTGTGATGAGTATGGTCTGACCAAGTTTGAGATGCCCTTAAGATACCTTTTTATTGTCCAGATGTAAAGTATCTGACTTTAAAAAAAAGACTATATTTTTTAAGCAACCATTTTCTCCTTGGTTTCAACTTTATATGTTCATTTTTTTCTTTTCATTGGGTGTTTTTGCCAAGCTGCAAAATTTTTACTTCTTTTCGCTCTGTTTTGTACTCATTTTCATTATAGATCTGGATTAAAAAGTACCCACCACTATCCGTGTAACAACCTAAATGTTGGGCTGTCTTGAAATTTTTTCTGTCAGAGTCATTAGTCTGCCACCTTTAAATTTAGTCTCACACAGTTTTAGGATGGGGACAAAACAGACAAGTTTTTAATCTGAATAACACATGCATCGCCTCTAGTTCAGTTTTTAATAGAATCCTTATTTTTAACTAAAACCTCATATGAGCTGACCTTTACTACTTTGATATTTTGTCAGCATTTTGCTTTTTTTCTGAGCTCCAAACAGAACAGAATCACAAATCATACTCTTATAGTATTTTAGGGCTTTTTAAGCCTACATCTCCAAAACTTTTAAAACTTTTTCTGAAACAAGTTTTAAAGGCTCTTTGAACCACACGGTTATACTTCCTGAAATGATCATATTCCCAGTACCAATCTTTGCATTGGTCACTTTAGTGTCACTGGAACAAAATACACAATACCCACAACTTAAAGGAGTTTACTTTGGCTCAGTTTTTAGTGGATTTAGTCTATGGTTGGCTGGCTTGAAGGTAGGAGATGGCATGTAAAAAGGAAATGGTAGAGGAAAGATGTTTAACCTATGGTATCCAAACAGAGAAAGAAAAGATAATCTGGGGACAAGAATACACCCTTTTAAGTTATGCCCCTAGTGATCTGCCTCTAACCAGGCCCTACCTCCTAATGCCACATTCAGCTGTGCACTCATTGCAGGGTTGATGCACCAATGAGTATAGCACTCCTGTGATCCAGTCACCTTTAAAAGTCTCACCTCTAAACACGTGCAACTGGAGGGATGGGTGGGGTGCACATTTTAGATCCAAACCATAACAATAATTATAGTTTAAGGCATGTAGCAAAAAGCTATTTATGGTGGTTATTCCACTTAAACCTAAATTTTAATTCTTGCTTTAGTATTATAATCAATTCAGGTCAGCTCTTTATATCTGAGGCCTTCAACTTTAGCTTTTATAGGATAAATTAGCGACAAAGCATAGAAAGTCTTAACAAAACGCCATTTGATGGTGGGGTGTGGACCTGGAATTCCTGCAAGGAGATGGGAGAAATCACTGTGACCTGAGGAGTCTTGAAGGCATTGTAGAGGTGGCTTGGTCCTGGGAACCTGGGTCCTGCGGCTGTGAAGGACCGTTCCTCACTCCTTGGTCTTTTGTGCCTTTGATGAAATATTCATTGGAGACATATAGGTGGCCATGCAGGATATGGGTGGAATATTGTGAAATAAACGGGCATAGGTGGAGTTACACATGTCTTACTTTTCTCTTGTTGCTGAGACAAAATACTCCACATCAACAAGTTAAGGGAGGAAAAGTTTATTTAGCTCGCAGTTTGTAGCAGTTTCAGTCTGTCATTGGCTGGCTCCCAGGCAGGGTGGTATGGCAGAAGGGCATCGCAGAGGAGGAACAGTTTGTGGCAGGCAGAAGATACCAAAAGCAAGCAGTCGACGAACTACGAGTAACCAGTGGTAAGCCTCTTTCTGTCCCTTATATTGTATCCAGACTACCCACTCTGAGGGTTGGTGACACTCACAACCATAATCCTAGCATTGTATCATGAATCAGTCACATTTTAGATCCAGCCTCCTCTGAAAAAAGCCCACCCGTGACCACATGAGGCTCTGGGGAGACATCTAAACACAGCCTTAACAAACACCTTTAGGCAAGGAGGTAGGCAGTGCCATGTAGGCGTCTGTACTGCGTGCAAGTTTGGATATCTGTTCATGCACACAAGAGTTACTCTTAGGGTTCTAGGGAACAATGGTGATTATGGTGCTCTAACTTGCTTTAGATTTGCCAGATGTCTCCCTGACTCTGTTCAGATGGCCTGTGTTCCCTCAATGGGCCTTACTCATGTTGTTAGAAATTTCAGAAAGAAGTTTACATACAATAGGTTCTATCAAAATCAAGTCTCACCCCAGGGAGGGGAGGATCTTTAAAGAGCATCTCCTTTCCTGGTATCACTGGGCTGTAGAATATGGCAACCGGGAATGGCTGGAGACATTCCTGCAGTGGAGATTAAACTAGCTGACCTTGGCTTTTCCTCAACTTGAATGTAAACATGGTGCTAGCTGGATGTTTGACAGAGTGGCCAACCAAAGGTGATGTGTGATGTTTGCCTTGCTGTGTGATACCACTGTGATCACCTTTTAGGTTTTTGCTTCTCTGTGGTGCCCAAGACCCCCTTACAGGTAGCTGTTAGGGACCATGGGATTATCTCTAATGTTTTCTCACATGGCCAGTTTGAGAGATCAGTACATCAATACCACTTTACTTGAGTAAGAAAGGAGTTAAAAGAAGCTTTTAGTGATGGCACCACACAGAGTGCTGCTGCTAGAGAGAGAAAATTTCCATTCTGTACTTCCTGATTCAGAGATGCTTTGTCTGTACAGCTCCTTCAGGAATACCTTTGAGCCCCATCTCACTGTATGACGAGCTCTTTCCTCCTCTTACCAGGGCCAATAGTCTGAACATAGGGGAGGTGTCCAGTTAGATTTCACCAACTGCTTAGCTGTCTTTCAGCTTGCCAGTAATTGCAGAAGCCTCCGGTTTATAGCTTCCAGTTTCACCTTGATCAGGGTGATCACTGCCCTGCTTACTGCTCTCTCACAGTGAGCTGGGGCTTCCAGATGGTCATTCTGGTTTTGATTTTTTTTTCTCTTCATTACTGGGGATTGATCCTGGGCCTTTACACTGAGCTACATCCCAACCCCTTTTTTTAGTTTTTAAGACAGGGTCTTGTTAAGTTAACAGGTTGCCCATGCTGTGCTCAAACTTGCCATCCACCAGTCTCACCTTCCCAGAGTGCTGGAATTAAAGCTGTGCTGGTCTTTATGTAGAGAGAAATTGCTGGCCTTCAAGTGTGATTTATGATACCTCATTTATTCCCAGCCAAAAGTAATGTCAGTAAATAGTTTAGAGTTACTTTCTTTTATTTCCAAAAGGTCATTTTTAATCATCATATGCTGTTTTCTTTCTTAAAAAAAAATCTGTACACAGAATTCAGCACTTTATGTGGATAGTGTGTCACTGGTCCGAGCCCTTCAGGAACTGCCTCTCTCACTTCGACTCAATGTGGAGGCTGAGTTGATCCAGGTAAAAACCCCAAATGTGTCTATGGACTGCTTTGTGTTGGGACAGAAGAATTAGAGGGAAGACTACCCTCTGTAGGTTGTCTCAGACTTTCCTAAACTGAAGAGTTTGTGTTAAGGTATCATCTTCCAAAATTTGAAGTTGTTTTTTTTTAAAGTTACTTTTATGTTTTACACTTGAAACATTTGTAAAGATCAACTTTAATGAAAGTGAATGAAATATAGTCTGTTATTTTAGTCAAAAGATGTCAGGCTCTGTGTTAGGCACTGGGAACTCAGGTGAGATATGATTCCTGCCTTCTTGGAATGGAATCTCTTAGGCAAGATGCATATTAGTTAAATTAATCCAGTAGTCACCATATGTATATAAACCATAGTAAGTCCTGTGAAGCTCATAGTGGACACTGTACTTGTACGATAATGAGCCTGCTATGCTGCGGAGTACTAGGAACAGCTTTCCTAAACAGGTGACTGATAAGCTGAGGCATGCAGTTTAAGAATATTTAAGCTGGGGACCAGGGACTTAGTTCAGTGGTTCTGCAGGCTGCCTCGCAAGGGGTCAAGTTCAATCCCCGGTACAAAAAAAAAGACAATTTAAGCTGAATTATATATATATGTTTGTTTTTTGAGACAGGGTCTATGTAGTTGAGACTGATCTGGAACTCACTGTGTAGCCCAGGCTGGTCTCAAACTCAAAACAGTCTTCCTGCCTCAGCCTCCCAAGTGCTGAGACTATAGGCGTGCACTGCCATGTCCAGCCTAAGCTGAACTTTAAAGGAGAATTGCCCAGGCAGGTCTGCGGTAACAAAAATGACAGTGATGACAACTAACACTGAGGTAGCAGAATGTGGGGCTGGAAATATGGGTGTCTGCCTGAGGGAGGACAGGGAAGGGGCCCAGCATAAGACTGGCATGGGGCTGGGGGCAGAGGGACACAGTGGCTGGACTAGGATGATGGGGGAGGTGGACAAGTGGACTTACCAAGAGGGGTTTCAGACATGCCATTAATAGCATTTGGGAGGGTTATATTGGAAATGGAGAAAACAGGGAAGAACCTCCCCCTTTCCCACCATGCCAGGGAGGAGTTTTCTTAACCTGTTTACATGTTAGAATCATCTGGGAAGTTCAAAACAACAAAACAAAACAAAAAGCCAGACATTCCATGTTAAAGGATTTTAGGATTAGAATAGAGGCCACATCCCAGCTTTGTTCTGTACATTTAGTCCAGTTAGCGTTCATAGGGCCCTACTGTTTTAAATAGCTATAAAACCCAAGGAGTTATTAAGAAACAAAATCTATCAAAGATGCTTTAAAGTAAAAACAAGGGATCAGTGTCCTGGTGGAGGCTGAACCTCATTGTAGCCTAGTGGTTGTGAGGCCATGATCACTCTGGAGCCTTCTCTTTGGAGTGGGATTGTCGTCTTTAGATTGCAGTCTGGGTAGTGCTTAAACTTTAAAGTGTAACACATATGGAGATGTGTACACTTGCATATTCAAAGCCCTGGAATGGGCATCCAAATCAAGAATCCGAGCAGTGTCAGCCCCAGGCATCCATCATTCACACCCTCTCCGAGTCCCTCTGCCCGAAAGAGAGCCACTGTCCTGGCTCCTAGTACTATAGGTTTGCCTAGTACTATAGGTTTGTTTTCTTTTGTTTAGCAAATCAAATATGTTTTCTTTCTTACCTGTCATGTTTTACTCAAATAACGTCACTAAGAGTCATTTTCTTTTTCTTGGGGAATTCCTCCTCCTCCTCTTTTAACGCGTTTAAGCATAATGAACAGGCTAATTACTTCTTGGTGACTTTGACAGATGTCTGTCATTACAGACTGAAGTATAAATTCAAATAGACCTATGGGATAGTTAGCTTTTAGGCCAGTGACAGGAAGACATAGGCCTTTTAATTCCAATTCTCAGTTAGCTAGCAATAGCTGAGGAGGAAAGTAAGAGACACAGGTCTCCATTTTCATGAGGTCTCCCATGTTTGCCAGAGGTCAGTCAGGAAGGAATGCTGGGCCAAGGCCCCAGTGGGAGACATTTTGTAAACTAAGTGTCTGAACCGAGTTTCTCGCTCCTCAAAGTTGGATGGCTTTCTTGGCCTCCCTGTGTTTTGTTTCCACCTCAGCAAATATAATAAGGCTCATACTTTTAACCTAACTGTTGTGCTTCTCTTTCAGACTATGGTTCCTTTAGAGCTTCCTCAGGTGAAACCAAAGAGAAATGATGAGGGCAAGGGACTAGGAATGCAGTTAAAGGGGCCCCTGGGGCCTGGAGGAAGAGGCCCCATCTCGGAGCTGAGGTCTTCTACTTCTGGCCGCCCTGGGTCCCTGGGCAAAGACAGCCCAAGACCAGGTCCTTCAGCGGCTTCTCAGAAACCCGATTCCCCACTGCAGTCAGCAGCAGACCATTTGGAAGAAGAACTAGATCTGCTGCTTAATTTAGATGCGCCTGTAAAAGAGGAAGATAACATCTTACCAGAACAGACATCTCAGGACCTGAAATCTGAGAAAGATGGCCCGGTGGCACAAGACGAACAAGGTATGGCTTTCCTTTATTCCCCTTGCATCGTCTCCATTCTGGTGCATTTGTGGAACAGCCCAGCCCCACCACATCTGTGTCTGACATCGATCCAGCGTTGTCCCTGGCATCCATTGCTGTGCTGGCTGCTTCCCCCTGAGCTGACCTTTCTGACGACATTCTCGCTTGCTCTGTCCAACTTGCAAGGTGCTACCTGGCTGCCTGCAATATTAAGCCTGCAGCTGCAAACTGAACTTCTGCTGTAAAAAGACATTAAGCCTCTTATAGTGCTCAGCTTTTCAGCAGCAGACCTTTTAATCGACCATCTAAGCAGGCCAGTTGGATCTTATTTGATACAAAAGAACAAGTCTTAATTTGTGTATATGTTTTGTGAGATGGTGATGAGGCCTAAAGCGTTACACTGCCCCATTCACAGGCTGCATCTGAAAAGTATGATCTTCCAGAAATGCTACAATATAAAAAAGATCACTGAGCTGCTGGTCTTTAAAAAAAAAAAAAACTAGTGAAAAGTGAAATTCAACTTCAGAATAAATAGGAGAGCAAATCTCTCCACCATTTATTAATTTGTTTAGCTATTATTGTATCATCTTAGGGGAAGAAACAATAATGAGACTGTTCCTGTTGTTATAGGGAAAGTAATAAGTAGGGCTGAATTATATTGTGGAACAAACCCAGGGGAAGGTTTAGTCCTTGGTGTTGGTATTAATGTGCAGTTGTTAACACTGCTTTTATTTCCCTAGTTCCTGCAAAACCATCTGTGACTGAAGAAAAGAACACAGACTCTGAGCAACCAAGTACATCTAAAAATGTTACCGAGGAAGAACTAGAAGACTGGTTGGACAGCATGATTTCTTAAAGAAGAACTAAAAAAAAAGTGCCTGAAGCAAATTTTAGTGGCCTTTTCATTGCAGGCAGGCATGAGACTGGCCTTAGGGCCGGCTCCTTTACCAGTGTGCCCCCAGCTGGTGTCCCGCACTGGGCTTTTGCAGCAGCCTGCCTCTGCCTCTTCCTGACAGCATTGGGAATAATAGCCGCATGGGGCCTGTTGTTTGTTTTCTGGCTTCATAACCCAATAGCTTTCCTTAAGGCAGGGTGTCACAGCAACATTTTCATCTTCCTTGCTCTTGATATTTACAGCATAGCAGGTGCTGCTTCCTAGAAAAACACATAACAAGCAACCGGGCATGCATTTGGCCAAAATAAATATTCTCTGGTCTGTGGAGTTTTGTTTTCCTCATGTGGAGCCTTAAGCTACTGTCTCATGTCCCTTTCCCCAGCAGTCACAGCAAAGTTGCAGAATCACCCCGAAGAGGTGCATTATAATATAAAAAGGCCAAACCATGGATTGGTATGTATTATTTTATTGCAGTGGGCACTTCATTTTTTTGAGAAAGTCATCTAAAACATAGAAGCTCCACTACGTACAAGGGGCCCTAAAGCATTACTCAATTTTGGCATAAGATTGAGATTTTCTGAATTTTCAGTACAGTACTTTTCTCCTAATAACAGCAGTTGAGAAGCTGTTACTGAAAAAATTATGAATAACCTTCAAGTGCAGTTTCAGAAAGTAAGACTGAACACAACTGTTTAATGGAACCGTCCTTCTGGAGCACAAACATAAAAAACTTGCATAGCTATATCTAAAGTGGTTTTAAGGCACTTAATGTTTCAGTGTCAACGAAGTATTGGTTGTTTTCTATTTCATTAACTGCTTAAAGCTTTTCAAGCTGATTCTGGTTACAGGCACTAGCAAGTACCATGGGAAAAATTAGACGGCAGTTAACATGACTTTGTGAAGTTCAGACCATGAGCCACTGGTGAAAAACTGTTGTATGACATTCACGTGTTTAAAATTGTAGGCATTATGCAGTTAAGACTTTTCTGGCCCTTTCAACTATTAGTTACATTAGAGCTGAAACACTCTGAAGGTATTCAGTTAGATTCCTGGCCATCCCCTCTGTTTTTTTTTTTTTTAAACTTTGTTCACATGTTGATAGGTCGTTACCCACAGAGTAACAAATACTTTCCTGTAAAGGAGATATCTAGAAAACGTCACACATCAAATGTGTTGTTGAACTGTGAAAGGGGGCTTTTGTTTCACTGGAAGCTGACCATCCAGGTTTGTAGCACATCTTTTGTTCACATTTATCCAAGCTGATCTTCGTATTGCTTACGAAAGCAGTCGCCAGCTGGGAAGAAATCCCAGCACCTCTCTTGGTACATCTTCCAAACATAAGATTCCTGAAATAACGTGAACAAAGGGGACTTTTTACACCACAAACTAAAACCAAGTATGGCTTCCTTTAGGAAAACGGATGCAACTGGATATGAGGCCAGCGGGCACCACCTTTCTTGCTCTGTTCCCAGCCCCCGTGGCTTTTGCGGGTGAGAACTTGTCTTCCTCACAGTGTTGTCAGCTCCCCTGCCACCCCACCCAAGACTGGGAACACAGAACGGTGGTTGCTGAGGGAATGCTGTGTGCTGGCATGGAGAGTGAGGCCACATGTGGAGGCCACTTGCCTCTTCCTTTACCGAGTGTTGGAGCTGTAAAGGGTTCCTACAAGTCCAGTGTTGAATAACTGTTCTCTACCTTTGTTTCTTTTTCAGACTTTAGTCACAGCTCTTCAACATGTCTCCCTCTCCTCTCTCCAGCTCACTTCCATGTTCCTGTAGGCACCCACACTCCAGGTTGCTGTCTCATGCCATCTTACTCTGATTCTCCGGTTCTTTCTATAGCCACCCACTCTATTTCTTGCTGTCTTTTTCTGGTAATGTTCTTCTCCCCTCCATCTATTCTGCTCTAAAGCAATAAGCACAGTGGCTTAGAAAATACGGTGGGAAGAGTTTCCAGGAGGACCGTGGAATACCAGTGATGGCAAACCTTTTAGAGCTTTCAGTGATACAAACAGCTGGTCATAGGTTCACCACCACTGGAATAGACCAAGGGCACCATGGGAATCTGGCTGCTGCTTAAGTCTCAAAGGTGATGGAAGATGCATGCAAGACCCTAATGGGGGGCGGGGTCATAGCTCAGACGTGCTATGTACTCAGACTTTGGGAAGGGAAGATCTAAAGTATAGGATACTGAGTCGAAGGCATTTTATTTCTTACCTGACCTGTGTGTTCTGTTTCATCTTTGTTAATCAGATACATGAGAAAAAACCTGGAACCAAAGGAAAAGGCCATACTAAATGAGAAAGACAATATTAGATACTTAGGTTTCTAGTTAAAGTTCATTTACAGGGATGAACTAGGCACTGGGTTCAAAACCCTTGGTGCCTTAAAAATAGGGGAAGCAAGGAAAACCATCCTTTCTTTGTTCACCTCAAAAGCAAATTCCTTGTGAATTACCATCCCAAAGCTTGAGCTGGTACCACTTACAAGGTAGCATTTTATCTACCATTTTATTAAGAAAATCATAAAATAGCCCAATCTCTCTAAAAATAAGCCAAAAATAGAGGCTCGATATCACATGTACCTCAAGGATATCACTCATGAAAAAGGGAGAAAGTATTTCATTAAATGCATCTTTTCTTTGACTGTAGATGAGTGAGAAATGCTAGTGCAGCTTTACTGGCTCTAACCATGATCTGTGACACACAAGTTTCCCAGGGGGCTATACTCTCGGCTCACATTACATGGTCTTAGATGGTTTCTAAAGGAACCAATGTCTTTTAAAAACAGGAGTGCAAGGCTGGTGGTAAGGAAGAGAGAGAAAAATTTTCAAAGGGTGGAGGAGGCAGGACTCCAGATCATGCGCTCTCTCAGGGCACTGCTGTATTTATAGTTCAGGTTTTGGCCCACAGAAGCAGCTCTTAATATGTTCGTTTCTTCCTGTTTTATTTACCGTGCCTAAGAAAGGCAGAGTCAATATTTTTATCATGTTTGAGACTCAGACCAGTAGGACATCATTCCTTCCCCAGCACATTTAACTGGCAAAGCAGCATTAAAATAAACCACTGCAACAAGAATGCTATGAGAAGCCATGGAAGGGAGTCTCAACTCGGATGACTTCCCAGCCCATCCCTCCTCTGTGATTCCCTGGTACTGACAGGGCCATGGGTGCACCTACTGGCTGTGTGTCGTCCTCTCCACTAAGGTGTTAGCACCCTTTCTGGGAATGAACAGTGACTACTGCTTACTAGGTGAGGGAGGGAATGCTAATGTTATTTTGTAAAATGTCTCTCTTTGCCACTTTGTTTGTTTGTACTGGAATTTTACTCGGGACTTTGCACTTGCAAGGCAGGCACAGTGCCACTGAGCTAAATCCCCAGCTCCCTTTGCCACTTCTTTTTGATAATACCATTTTCCCCAAAAAATCCATCCTAAAGATAGTTTAGGACTTTCTAAATAATATAGCGTAGTGGGGGTAGGCAACAGCAGTAAAGGAGCAGAGCAATTTTTCCCTTGAAAATGACCAGTTATGGAATCTGAAATATCAGAACTTATCATCCATAAGTCATACATTCTCTAAGTTGTTTCATAGGAACTCCATGGCACATAAGCTCCAGTAGCTTGTTCTTGAGCAAATGCTTTACCTTAGAAGTTCAGTACTCATTTACTGTTTACCATTGCTGCCAGACACTTCTCCAGAGCAGTAGTGGTGAACTTAGGGTGCATGCACCGCTTGGATCATTGAACGCTCTAAAAGATTCACCATCACTACTCTAGATGTTGAAAAAAGGCAGTGTGAAACACGCACACACCAAAATAGCCCACTCTCATGGAGTTAATATATTCATGGGAGCTGTGCACATATGTGGTGGCCTGAAACAGTCGCAGAAGTTGGGAAGAAAGATAAAGAGAGGGAGCCTGGGTGGTTTGCAAGTTTTGCTAACAGGGAAAAGGGGGCAACAGTTGGAAGTAAAAATGGACTTCTTGAGGATTAGAAAAAACATGGAGAGAGAGGCCTTGCCCGAGATGTATATCCTTGAAAAGAGGTGGGATCCTGGCACACCAAGGAGCTCCCTAAGTGGAAGGGAAAACAGCCCACTGTGCACATCTGTTGAGACAGGTTCTTGGGGACACATAGGATGTTCCTTTCTGGTCGCTGCTGCTTTTCCCATGCTGCTTTTGCCAGAGAGAAGGGAAGGAATAGCATCAGCAGCGACTGAAGCATGGGACATAATTTTTTTTCTTAACTCTTAAAACTCCCTTTCTCTGCCCCCATCATCTGTGTCAACTGAGAATACTCACAAGTAGTTGGCTAAGTTGTGCTCTTGTAAAGTGTGAGTCTCGAAACCATGCGGAGTTGTGTCAAAGTAGTCATTGCCAATGCCACAGATGAAACATTTAGTCTACAGAAAACAACAGATAGGAAAGGTATTAGGGAGAAAAAGGGTAACAGCCTCTGCTGAACTGAGGTGATGATGAAAAATACTTTTCTCCGAAGTGCTTTGGGCTGCTAATCATTCACTGCTCACTGCCTCCTACCCAGCTCCTCCTCAGCTGAGCAGTCAGCGTCCTTCTATCTTGGAGCAGTGGAGGGAGGGGCAGCAGCTGGGGCACCAATGCACAGAGCAGGAAGAGGACAGGCTTGGCAAACACTTCATTGGTGGTGTTGCCTGGGGCCAACCCTAGTTAATAATCACACCAATTGTTGAAAAAAATCTTTTTGTTATAAATGTAGGGGTGGCTGAGAAACCTTACCTCCATATCTTCCCGCACTTGTTCCTGCTGGTCTCTCAGCTCTCCAAAAGCATCGATAATGAGACCTAAAATTTTAAATACAGACTGCATTACTCTGGACAGTGGTCTTGGGGATAGGAGTGATGAGGGGGAGGGGCAGGGGCCACTTTGTTTTGTCCAAAAGGTGAATTATCAGCCTGAGCTCTTCAATTAAGGCAAAACAGGGAAACCACCTGCTTTTCCAGAGGTACAGGCCAGCTCTTACCACTCCTCGCACTCCACTTCAGTGCTGTGTACCAGCTCTCCTCGGAGCTCTCCCCTTACCATTCCCTCAGTCTTCTGTCTTCCTGCAGTTTGTTTTCAGTCTTCACAGTGAGTGCTTCCCCTTCGCCTGAACTGAGGGTGCTGCTTTCTAGCATATAACACTGCATATCCTACAGCATGGTACTCAGACCGAACTCAGTCTTTTCTTCCCCAATTCCTGAGAAGCTACCAAGATACAGTCCCCCTTCCTTTCCCCCAGAAGACGATAAAACATCATGTTCTCACAGTGCCTCTCTGCTCGCTCCTCACCTGACTGCTGAGAGGACAGAC